ACCATTTCTCTTCACAGCTCTCCTTCTCCCTTTTCAATTTTCTGTTCAATTTTCTGTTGTAGCTCTATATTTCTTTAGTAGTTTTGCGATTAACGTTAACTCCTAAGTTTATTTTGTATTACTTTTTATTGTTATTTTTTATTTATGATTTTTATGATATTAACTGAACTACGGTTTTTTCGCAGATGGCATTCCAACCGTTCACACTTGGCTTACGGTGGAATGGTTACACAGAAGAGACTGGAAAGGGGGTCACCTACGTCGATGGCAATTTTCAGAAGATAAAGGTCGCTACCAGACCGCTGCTTGAAGACCTCCATCAAATGTGCACTAACGTTACTTGCATGGATGGCACGAGAAGAGTTGATCGTATGGTGTACCGATATCTAAACAGAGAAAGTGGGTCATTGTGGCATGAGGAATATCTCATAACCACTCAGGATGAGGTAGATGCCATGCTCGAATTCTTGAGGTCCAACAAACTTTCCAAAGCCGAGATGTTCGTTTACACCGAGGCGGTCGTAGGCGGTGGAGGTCATTCTGGACATGGTCAAAGATAGCTGGGTGGAATGGGAGCACATTGGTGGTACCCCTGTAGCGGATTATTGTTTGTGCCTCCTAGCAAAAATTTACACGTTAATTATTATATATTAGTAAGGGTTTTTTTCTTATAACTAAATTAATTAAATTATTTAACTTAAAGCAGAATTTTATTATCATAAAAAGACATTTCATATTATCATATTATCATAAAACAAACATCCTAAATTAATTAACATAATAACATTCTAAATGAATAATAATTTAAAGGGATACATACATATTATCGTAAAACAAACATACTAAATTAATTAACATAAATAATATTGTTAATGAATAATAATTTAAATAGAAACATACATATTCAAATGTTCCAAATTAATAAAATTCTTTTTTACACATAAAAATAAATCGTATTGGTTGTTTGGTAAATAATTTAATCGTATTGGTTGTTTTAAATAATTTAATCGAATACAAAGCAACACTCGTTAGACTCTTAGAAGAGGTATACATCTTCTTAGAAACGCAGTCTTTTTGACAGAAAAAGGGGGGATCCGAGGATCTCTTAATACCCGATTTTTCCAGGTAATGGGAGGATACGATAATCGCTTAAAACCCCATTTCCTTAGACGTGCATCTCTTTATAAAGAGTCGAAGTAAGTGGCGCTATGTATTCGATTAAATTATTGAAAACAACCAACACGATTAAAAAATCACCATAAATTTATTTTATATTACACTAAATACATTAACAAAATAAAAGAAGGACAAATGGTGAAGAATTGTATGTACCGGGTGATCGTTCCAAAAATCCCTTGACCGATGGTTGGGTTGGTCGTACAAGTCAGTTGGATCCAACGGTCCTTGCTCGAGATAATAACGTTGGTTGTATATATCCACGTCCTCCCCAACCTACGAGAAAATAACAACGAGGTTAGTACATAGATTAATTAAAAAGCTTATAACAACAGCAAAAATTAAAGCAGAATAATGAGTACGTACCGCTTGAAATTCATCGACATAAACTCCCTCTCCTTGCCACCAATCGGCCATTTTTTTGGGAAATTCGGACAGAGGTTCGGCTCGGCTCGACGGGTTTTTGGGTGGTAACGAAATATATATTGATATTACCACACTATACCCTACGGTAATGTATGGTATTGCGTAGTAATGAAATACATATTGATATTACCACTCTATACCATATTGTATTCTGTGATATTACCATACTATACCATATTGTATTGTGTGGTAACGAAATATATATTGATATTACCACACTATACCATATGGTATTGGGTGGTAACGAAATATATATTGATATTACCACACTATACCCTATGGTAATGTATGGTATTGCGTGGTAACAAAATATATATTGATATTACCACTCTATACCATATGATATTGTGTGATATTACAACACTATACCATATGGTATTGGGTGGTAACGAAATATATATTGATATTACCACACTATACCATATGGTATTGGGTGGTAACGAAATATATATTGATATTACCATACCATGTGGTATGGTCTTATTTAATACCAGTCAATACCATATGGTATAGACTGGTAATAACTGGAAATTTTTTTATGTTCAAAAAATATCAAAGTGGATATCATTTTGAAGGGTACAATTAATCTGATCTAACTGTGCAAAAAAAATTAAATTCCGACTTAAAACGAGTGAGAAATCGTCCGTTAAAGATTAAGAGAAGAAAAATTAAAGCTTTTTCGAGGAGAGAGAAGGGGGTGCTGATGTGGTCTGGTCAAAAGTTAGTGTCAGTATTAAAATAGGTGTAAGTGCAATTTTACCTTACTGCCCTTCCACATTTAATTTAAATAAAAAAGAGGATTGACACGGGAAAATCAGAGAATGAGTTACTGATGGGTTACTGACCCATCAGTTACTGACTCATCAGTTACTGACACGATACACTCCCCAAAATCACCCCCACTCACCGATTGCTAAATCTTGACTCCGCTTCTGAAATTACTAATAAGCTGTACAATTTAAAGCTTCAAACACCAAATAAGAACAAAATCCTAAGAATGATTACAAGCTACTAATCAATCAAATATTAATTCTAGATAAAGAATGACAATTACATTACGAAAGAAAAGACGAAAAATACAAGTTCTAAATTAGTTGAACAATGAGAAAAAAAAGAAACAAAAGTGATCATCTATCGTATATGAATAGCTAGCTTCTAATTAACCATGCTGCGCCTCCTTCTGATCTCCCCCTGATTCCCGGTAAGAAACCCTTGCGTATAAGTGCTCACTTAGCCCAATTAGTACGAGGCCTTTTGTACAAGACACCCAAGAGCAATGCAGTCAAAATCGCGCTTTAAAACTTAAAAACTTACGATTTTATGCTTTTAGGTCACCAAAACGTTTTCGTTTCCATATAAAAACTCAAGTGTATAAAAAAAAATCGTACCCAATTGCGTTTCAAAACTTAAAATCTTACGGTTTTACGCTTCTAGTTCTCCAAAACGCTTTACGCTTTTAGTTCACTAAATGAGTATTCTTTTCATGAGATTAATTATAAAAAGTATATTTTTAAAAGTAAATCACCAACAATATGATACATTGGAGATTAAAAGATACATATAAGGTACTTGGATGCATTCTCAACTTCGATAGAGTAATCTAATTATCCAGCTAGGCTTTTCCCAAATTAATTAGCATAGTGGGAAAAGTGGCTTATTGTTAAAATTTATGTTTACAAACTCATTATATATTTTTTTTTTTATTGGTTGGAGGCGCAAGCCAAGAACAAAGAAGAAAGGGGTTACAGGTGAATCTTGGGAGTTTGGAATACACTCCTAGGTAAAGCAACACCTCTCTCGTCGTCCTGCAAAATGGGTCTCAATGGGGCCGGCGGGTCAACCAGTTCATACATACCATGGGGATAGACGAGACCGTGCTTCGAGAGTCAGTCCGCGACTCTATAAGTTGTTCTATTTTAGGCACAAATCGCATGTATTTGTTGACTTATCTAAATTCTGTGCATTCATATTTTGCATAGCATATGTCCGACTTAATAGATTTTTAGTTATTTTTCAGTATGCGTCAAAAACTTAAACTTTTACGCTTTGATTCTACGCTTTACGATTTTACCCATTTTCCGCTTCTAGGTAGAATCGCGCTTTTGACTGCATTTCCCAAGAGTAAAACCGTGCGGGCTTGACCTAAAGCGGACACTATCGTACTAATTGAGCTCCCCAGTTATGACAAGTGGTATCAAAGTCTGGTTCGTTTTGGGGCGGTGGACGTCAGATTGGTGGACCCTCATTCGGTGGACCTCGGGATTTGAGATATGCGTTTGTCTGGCGGGTCAAAGGTGATTCGCGTCTGTTTGGTGGATCCAGAATAGAACCACATTTGGGCTTTGGTGGATCAAGGGAGTTCCGCATCTATCAGGTGGATTGATAGACCGATAATTATACATGTTTTTACCCCTATTCTGAGGCCGTTTGCGACGAGGAATCTCGTGTTTTAAGCCGATTTCACGCTAGGTTGTGTGTTTGTGTCATATTTCAGGTCCCGGCGTTGGAATCGAGGCGGAGAAACGAGTTCTGGGCCGAAAGGAGCAAGGTTGGGACGAATAGGGCTGAAGGAGGAAAATACCCGGTCAGGTGGCCAAATACCCGACCGGGTATTAACCAATTTTGGGCGCCCGAGAAGCAGCGAGGGGCCCGGGCACAGCAGTTAAATCCCCGGTCGGGGATTTTGGTGTTGGACCGGGGATTTCCCTCTTTAGTGAAACGGTGTGCTGCAGAATACCCGGTCACAACCCAGAATACCCGACCTGGTATTCTGACCGGATATCGCGACCAGGCAGAGGATTTAAGAGAGAAGAAAGCCAACATTGAAGGGTTCCGAGTTTTTGAGAGAGAAACCGATACCTAGAGAGAGAAAGCGTCGAACCAGAGTTCTCAAGCGCCATAGATCGATCTTCAACACCATTGGAGCCCGTCTTGAGCTTGGAGAAGTGCGATACGTGGCTTAAAGCGCACCTTAGAGGTGCGTTTTATTGAGGAAATGCACCCTTAGGGTGCGAGCTATATATAAAACGCACCTCTAAGGTGCGTTCCATAAAAAAAGGTGCTAGTAGTTTAAATGTTTTCGGATGTGTGCTATTTTTGTAAAAAAAAAAATTAAGGTGCTATTATTGGAAAAATCCCAAGGATTATCAGGTCTTGTTGAAAGCTATTCAGGGGGAGATAAAGTGTGTGCTGGGTTTGCAGAGGGTCTCCATATTTTGGTCAATCAATCTGCCTTAGAGATTTAGTTTGGATAGATTTTTGTTTTGCTTTGTTCGTACTTATAGGTTGATTAAGCCTAGTTAGCAGGGCAGTTGCTAAAAACCCTTTTTTGATGAATAAAGATCCCATCGATTCATAAAAAAAAATTAAAAAACTAGAGAAGACCAGTGCCCTGAGTGCCTTCTTAATTCTTATCCCCTTCCTTTTTGCACCATCGAGAACACCACCGCCGCTCAAAACACCACCGCCGATCTCCCACCTCAGCCAACCGAATCAGCTCCCTGCTTCAGTACTACAATCCCGGTCCAGACAAACGTCATCGTCGGATCTTCCTCCGCCACCAGTGCCTTCAAGTGCCTGGACCTGAAAATGGCCACCACGACCAAAACCACAAGGAGCTAACACATCACCGTGAAAATCGAGCAGAGAATCGCAATCCGGTTCGTATCCTCGTCGCAAATCCAAAGAGAAAACCGGGCGCGGAGCGGAAGCAAACAAACTTCTTCTCCAGATCGGTGGAATTAAACCCACAAACCCCATTCCCAAATAGGCATACTTGCGGGAATATCGAATTCAAGGAGGGAGAGAGAGCTTGAAACGTACATGAGGTTATGCAATTGCTTGAGGTTATCCAGATCATTGCCATTGATTAGCATCCTGAACTCCCAAGAAACCTAATTGGAAGCCTCTGCTATGGATTCCTTCTCCTCAGTTGGCTCCATCAGTACTGATTCCTTCCCTGCAGTTCTCCACTTCCCACTCCGAGTCGGGACAAAGAGACGACCCCTCCAAGAATAGAAGGAGAAAGGGCAATAGAAAGATTGTTGTTCGTCGTTCACCTTCAGCCGTCGCCGCCAACGCTAACCCTAACCAAGAAATTGGGTAGAGAGGAAGGGGAGAAGAAGAAAAGAAAGATGGGGTGAACATGAATCATTGGATATGATTTTTTTTTAATAATTAATTAATAAATAAGTTATAAAGGTTGACTGGTTTATGTGGCATTTTCATTGACTGCCACGTCAGAAAATCTCTTCCACATCAGCGTAGCGTCTGCCAACTCACCATCATCTAACGGAAGTGGTAACGGAGACTTAACGGTTGGCTAATAATTTGTATTTCGATAGTTGTGACTATAATTTCTCGATGTTTAATAGTTCTGACTAATATATTGTTTTTACCCATTACCAATTCTTATAATAATCTTAATTAATACTAGTAGGATACTATAGGATGTATAATTAATTTTTTACGAATACCAATATTGGTAGACAGTCGCTTCGTAGTTATAAAAAACAAGAAGTGGCGATGTCGCGCCTTGTCGCGTGGCGGAGATGGCCTTTGAGCATGTCTTATGTGGTCCGGTATTGTGTTTTGTTAGTATTATTAGTATAAAAATTTATTTTTTGTTAGCAGTTTTGTTAGTAATATTGACTTGACAGTAATATTGACTGAGAAGAGATATATGGCAGTCAACATCCAATTTAAATATTTTTGAAAATTTAGGCTAATAAATTATATTTATCTAAACCCAAGTAGACCCATTGATTATGGGTAGGATATGCGTGACGTATATATGAGTTTGAAAGTTTGTAGATGGGTTTGGGTAGGGTATGGATATTTACTTTCATAATCTAAATGTGTATGAGTTGGGTATGGATACCCATTTATTCGAGGGTGTTTTAATTACACATACAAAATTATTCGAGGGTGTTTTAAATGTCTCTTTGTATTAGTTATGTGTGGCGTGAGCGTTGCAGCAGAATTCATGATGTTGTTATTTGCCCCTCCAAGTAAGCTAGTTGGAATGATTGAAGAGGAAGTGAAGTGGATACTTGAAGCCAAACCCTGAAGCTGTAATTGTACATGGGCGCTGGGCCGTGCTTGGGCCGGCACGGCACGGGCACGCTTCGGGCCCATTTATTTCGTGTCGTGCTTGGCACGGCCCGTCAGTTTCGTGTCGTGCCATGCAAGCCCATTTGTTAACTTTGCTAAGCCCGGCCCAGGCTCGGGCACGGTTCGAATCGTGTCGTGCCGATACGTGTCGTGCCCTGCTCGTATTCGTGTTTAATGAAAAGGATGAAAACAAAAGAGAGAATGAAAAAGAAGGTGAAAATTGGACGAAGGAAGATAGTATTAACCGATAATGTTTGAGAAAAGTAACAAATCATGAGGGAAAGAAAATTGGAAGTATAGCGAGTGTGATTTGGCTTTGTTTAATTCTTATGTCCATTTTTACTTATCTTCAATAAAGTCTCGAAAATATTAGGCCCGACACGGCCCACTTATATACCGTGCCGTGTGCCGGGCTGGCCCATTTATTTTGTGTCGTGCTCGTGTCGTACTCTAACCCTGTCGTGCCGTGCTAGCCCGTCGGCGGCACGGCCCGTTGCCCACGTACAACTGTAATGAAGCAGAGATAGGTTGTTTTTGCATGTTTTTAGTAGATAGCTATATTGAGTAGTTCCTATTTTGGTACTGTACGATTTGTACTTGGAGGAGGGGTTCGCAGTTTGTAACCGCAGGGATTAATGAAATTTTTGATTAACCATAGAAAATATAGTAGGTACAAAAAACTCATAAAATTTAGATACCAAAATATAATTGTTCAATGATTTTACATTAAAATTAAATTTAGGGTATCAAACTGTCAAATGTACATTATAGTGACTAAGTTGTAATTAAATTAAATTTGGAGTATCAAACTGTCAAATGTACAACCGCCAATCAGCTTGCACATTTAGGCAACAGTAAGTGAACTTCTTCTTTATATATATTAATTAAAATTTAACACCCGATATTGACATGCAGTATTAGCTTTCTTACAATTTTTCTAATTTAGATTGAAATGTTTTGTTTGGATATAATAACTTAAAAGTTTTGAATTAATTTTTTGCTTATTCGTACTTTTTAGACTTACGGTTTTGTATTGACAAAATCACGGTCCAAGATAGGGTCAGTAACCACTGGTTACTGACCCATCAGTAATCACACGGGAGCCGTAGATTTGGGAATAGAGCAATCGTGTGGCTGGACTGGATGTGGGGTGGGGAGGGGCATTTTTGTCCGTTTTTGTATTTTTAATTTTTTTTATTCATTCCGCATTTCAATGGCTGACTTTTCAATGAAAGAGAAAGAATGACATTTTCTATGCAACTCAACTTTCTTCCTTCTCTCTACCTTTCTTTCAATCTCTTTCGAGATCCTTTCTCTATACCTTCTCTCTTACTTTTTCTTTCACAATCTCCTTTTCAAATTTTGATCTGCTCTCTTCCTTCTTCATTTTTTTTCTCTAGCAATCGACGAATAAAAATTGTAGCCACTCTCATTCATTGCATTTCTTCTCTTCATCAATTCGTTGGCCTCAATTCCGATCTTTCTCATTTTTTTGGCATTTTGGTGTTCTTGATTGAGGAAGAGGAAATGAGAGGCATCAGAAGACGATTTTTTTCTCTCCCTCCTTCTGTTTTTTTCCTTTTAGATAATATATATTGATATTATGACTCTATACCATATGGTATTGGGTGGTAACGAAATATATATTGATATTACCACACTATACCCTATGGTAATGTATGGTATTGCGTAGTAATGAAATACATATTGATATTACCACTGTATACCATATGGTATTCTGTGATATTACCATACTATACCATATTGTATTGTGTGGTAACGAAATATATATTGACATTACCACACTATACCATATGGTATTGGGTGGTAACGAAATATATATTGATATTACCACACTATACCCTATGGTAATGTATGGTATTGCGTGGTAACAAAATATATATTGATATTACCACTCTAGTCTCTATACCATATGATATTGTGTGATATTACAACACTATACCATATGGTATTGGGTGGTAACGAAATATATATTGATATTACCACACTATACCATATGGTATTGGGCGGTAACGAAATATATATTGATATTACCATACCATGTGGTATGGTCTTATTTAATACCAGTCAATACAATATGGTATAGACTGGTAATAACTGGAAATTTTTTTATGTCCAAAAAATATCAAAGTGGGTATCATTTTGAAGGGTACAATTAATCTGATCTAACTGTGCAAAAAAAATTAATCTGAACTAACCCATATGCAACACATATTTTTGTTGTTTCATAATGTAAAAAAAATGTTACATATGACTTTAAACAACACCATCTATAGAGGACACTACTAAAAGTGTTGCATATCGTATAGGCAACACTTTAGCCACTTCTTGCAACACATTTGTAGTGTTGCCAAAAGCCACTTTTTCCGTATTGTGAAATCCAAATAGATGGATATGGGTAGAGTTTTTTTTTATAGCCAAGTCAGATGATTAATCGAGACTCATAAATGTTAAGAAAGAAAAGCGCGGGAGTCGACCAATAGTCGAACTCCCGATGAGAGGGCCTTTTGTGCCACATGATGGGCGGCCCTATTGAGTTGACGGGAAACAAAACAGTAAGAAACACTGGTCAAAGAAGACGCCAAGCTCCTAGCTTCCTCCAAAATAGCGCCACTCCGAACGTGATGCATATCACCTCCAATTATCCGGCGTATCAAGAGTTGAGAGTCCCCATGAACAGAAAGAAAAGAATGAGTTAGACACCAGTGTAAGGCATCACGTAGAGCTAAACATTCAATGATAAATGGAACCTGGATCCCATCATAAAATTTTCCAAAATCAAACAGAACATTACCTGTTGCATAAAAGCCGACAAAACCAATATTACCTCCTTGACCACGCTTGGAAGCACCATCAAACCAAACATTGATAACAACCGCGGATCCTGAAGTCGTAGGAGTGACTCTGGTAACATGTAAACGGGTAGTAGCGGCAGAATCATTACCAACGGAAGGCTGAATCGGAGGATTTTGCCCAACCGCCCTCCACTCGTCCACTTGTCGTTGATACTGCCGAAACAAAGCCAATGGGAGATATTGAATGCCCTCATGGACCGCCCAACATCTCCCCTTCCAAATCCTCCAAAGAATGAAAACAATATTAGCTATTTCAGTTTTTGAAAGATTCATAGAAAAGAAAAGATGTTGCCCATTTACATGGGTAGAGTTTGATGGGTTTGTAGTTGTACACATACCCATTTACATGGGTTGGATTCTTAACAAATGGATTTGGATTTACCCATCCCAAATGCAAATTACAGTTTGGTACCTAAACTTAATAGATATGCATATTTAGTACCTTTTTTGCATATAAGTCCTCAAAATATCGATGGAAAATTATATTTTAGTACCTAAATTTTTTGGTCTTACATTTTGGTACTTAAACTTTTCATGTTTTACAAATAGGTCCAATTTTTGTTTGTGTAGTTAAAACACCCTCAAGTAAATGAATATCTATATCCAACATACTCATTTAGATGATGAAAGCAATATCTATCCGCCCCTTACCCAAACACATCTACAAATCCCCAAACCATATGCACTTCACCCATACCAAACCCATTATCAATGGGTTTATTTGGGTTTGGATATAATACCCATGGGTGGATAATTGCCAACCCTATTTTTAGACCGCGAAATTTGAAATGAGACAATTCCAACCCATATTTTCTCTTTATATATTTTGCAGAAGTTAAAAAGACCACTAAAAGCAGTGAAAGGGGTCGCAAAGAAGATGTTGGTCACCATTAAACGAAATAGACTAATTTATCTATTACAGGTTTATATCAGCTAGGACTTAATTATCATGATTTGAATACAGCTAAGGTTCAGGTGCCACCATATTTCATATATTTCAACCTGTTTACGTTTTTTTAAATCCAGTAATTGAGATCTATATCCAATTTAATTTGTTTTTAGCATACATTTTTATTTTCATTTTTCATCGAATGTAATAGTCTTAGGTTCCATGCATGCAATGCAACACTATTTATGTGGCACGTAGCACTTAGGACATAAAAGT